TGAAAAATTAAATAAATCGTGTTCAAATATTAAGTAAAGATATCTTTACATATCTAAAGTAGTTTAAAAAAGATGACAGTTTTTTACCTGTATCATTTCAAGTACTTATGTAGATAATATATATCGGCAAAAAATTGATTTGATATTAACGTTTGATATTGAATATTTTATAAAATTTATAGCAATTGTATTTTGACATATCTATGTAGGGATTTTCTTACTGAACGTATTCAATATATAGAGCACATACATATTAAATATATACCAAAAATAATCTATTTCATTACTGCAACTACCGCGCTTCCTGGTTCGGCTTTAAAGTCTTCAAGTAAATACAGGCATTTAGTTTACATATAATACCACCTCTTAATGTACCTCTTCAGTCTCTTTAATGTGGTTTAAGTGAGGTTCATTTCCGAGTTTTAAGGAAGGCTTATTTCCGATGTTTAAGTGAGCCTCATAAGAACCTACTGGCGCTAATATCTGTGCTTCATAAATGAAATATTCTATTGTTATATACGCTTATTGTTATTTGGAAGCTTAATTTTAATATTAACATATAATTATTTTAGTTTTGGTAATTAGATACTATAGTTTACTAATATTAGAACATTCTACTCTTATACAGTTAAATAATTTTTATTTACCATTGCATATGGAGTTTGTGCGACAAGAAAATAACTTTTCAAAATCAAGGAAGTATCAAACAGATACTTCCCACTCTATATTATTTTTCTTAAAATCGAATTTGAATTGAATTGAACATCGAAGCTTTAAGTAAACCATAATGCTAAGAAGTCGGATATATGAGAAATTAAATAGGAGGTAGCACAAGATAGTGCGTAACGTCCTAAACTAGACACAATTTATACAAAAGGCATTTCAAGAACGGACAATATATTGTTAGCGAAAAAAGTGTTCCACTTCATTGGCATAGAGGATGTAACACAATTCTAAGCATAGAGAAAAAAATAGTTCTTTACACAGCAATATTTAAACCAGTCTGCATTTACGAGTTAATGCTTTGGGGTTCAATCAGCAATTATTATGTTAGTATTAGTAAAGATTTTCTCAGATACAATTTTATCTCCGAGAAAAAAATATAATTTATCTCTAATAATCTTATGTGTTGTAGATTAAAGCTCATGATCG